GCAAACAAACAAACTAGCGTACAAATTCAAGACCATGCCAATTGAGCATGAAGATTTGATGCAGGAAGTTTTCACAGGTGCAACCGCGACTAGGAAACATCATTGGACCCTCGCCGAGCAAGTTGCGGACATTGCGGACGGTGAATCCGATTCAGTTGACTCCCCTGGATTGCAGCCATTTACTAAGCCATATCAATCGGTGATGGACTCACCATCACCCTTCCACATCGTCTAGGTAGATAAAGCGGAGCAGGGGTCAAAGCGCAAGAAGGGGGGTAGTACAAGTTGAAAGTTTAAGAAGTCGTCCAGTGGCGCATCAGTGCTTGCAGACAGTTTCAACCATCTCTCCAAGGCGGTTTGTTCACAGAAGCACCTTACAGTCAGGCATGGAACTGGTGCATCTCAGAAGTATGGCATTGAGGCATGCATGCAAAGGATTATGGCTATACTCGACTTCCTCAGTACGCCCCTTTTCCATTTTGCCTGCATTACATTGGAGAATGCAGATTACCGTGAGATACTAATGTGCATACCTGATGATGGTAATGTGGTCGGTTGGCTTGCGGCATTGAAGGCCTCCAAAGGACTGTGAGTCCTGCGGTTTGTTATTTTTGGAGAAAATGGAAACTGTTTTTGGTGTTTGTGGACATGACTTGTGCTGTTATGTTTCTTTATTTTTGGTTTTTCCTAGCTTTGCTTATCAGTACTGTTAGTTAAAATTAATGTTTTGGGTGAATAGATGCGGACCTAATGTCGAACATTTTATGCAATATTGTTTTATGGAAGTGTGGTTTGTGTTTACTGTAGCAAAATTCCCAACTAGAATTGTTCAATTTCGTTGACTGCATTCCTCTTTATGGTTTGTAGAAAAATGTGGATGTATGCATGGGTGTTGCCATTCTTTTTATTTTGTGCATTAGTTTATAATATGACAAGAGTACATGGTCGACGTAATTAATGTTATGTTGTGTGCGTTGTAGGGTTCAAGAATTTTGATATGTAGAATGGTGAATGTACCAATCTGTATCGAAATAATGATGATGACATAACCGAACAAGCAGAAGAACAAGAGGACCAACAGAACAATGTAATCGTTGAAGCAATGCGACATGCAATGGAATATTACGTGAAGTACATGGAGAATATCCCATGTCGAACTTCAATTTTAACCAGTTGTGCATGGATTCAAAAATTATTTGATGGACACTTGGGTAGGGGCGAAGAAAATTTGCATATGCCTCTGTATTTGTTTAAAGCGTTATGTGATACATTACGACGAGATTTTGGTTTACGGGTACCTAAAAGACCCCATGGATTACACACTGAAGAAAGTGTTGCCATGTTCATCCATACCTTGGCCGGCTACCAAAACCGAAACATTCAAGAGCAGTTTCAACACTCAGGAGAAACGGTGTCTCGCCATTTTTCATGCAGTGTTGGATGCAATGAAGTTGTTCACTAAACAGCATTGCAAGCCAACCACAGATCAAAATAGTAAGCATCCCTACTTGCGGTCAAGAGGCAAATACATACCATTCAAGTTGAGAATTCAGTAATTGCCGTTAAGAACACTTGTGTAGAATGCGGTGTCCAATTAAATAGTTGTGATGTGTTCTATTATGGCAGAATTGTATAGGTGCGTTGGATGGAACTCACGTAGAAGCCGTGTTTCCTGTCCGTGATGCGGGCACATATTATGGCCGAAAAGGTTATCCAACCAAAATATACTAGCAGTCTATGACTTTGACATGTGCTTCATTTTTATTTCTTACGGCTGGGATGGAAGCATACATGACAGTCGCATCTTTAAGGAAATAATTGAAAATCAGCGCGCATCGTTTCCGCACCCACAAGAAAGTAACACATTTCAGATTCAGTACTAGTTCGGGTTTATGTCACGTGTATATAATTGTTTTTTTTTTTTTTTTAACTACAGGGGTATCTGGCACCATTCAAAGGGTCTCGGTATCATCAAGCACTATTTTGGAAACATGGACGACCCGATAACCCGAGAGAAATATTTAACGAAGCGCATGCGTCACTGAGGAGTGTGGTGGAAAGGACTTTTGGAGTATGGAAATCTCAGTGGAAGTTCTTGCACAACATGCCGGACTATGATTTTGCGATGGTGCAAGTGTCATTGGTTGGTGCATCAATGGCGTTACACAATTTCATTCGTAGACACGAACTAGTTGCCTTGGGCAACGACAAACATTATTCTGTTTCATCAATGCCGGATGACATGCTCGACGTTCACGCTGGCCGGGAAAATCTCGATGATGGGCTCATGGTTGGGGATACAGATGTGGATATGGCAAGAGTTCGCGTTCGCATACGCGACCATTTGTTTTATATACGCAGTTTGGGACTATTGTGAATATGCTCTTTCCGATGTGGGAATTTGTTGTGGAATGTGACCCAAGTAACAAGCCATTGGGCTTATGGAGCTATTTGTAATGCATAATATTCGAACCGCAGCTTCCTAAACATTTGTAATGTACTTATAAATTTTATTTGCCTAGATTGACCTTTAATTTCGTTCAATTTTGCACCTATTAGATGCCTTCGATATTTGATTCCCAGTCCAATTTCATAACAAAGAATTGCATTTTTTTTGGTAATTTTTTCAATTCCTGACAAATTTAATAATTTTATAAGCTGGTTTTTTTTTTTTTTATTTGTAGAAAAACATAAAAATTCATATTTAATTTTTAACAAATTTGAACAAAATGTTTGAAATTTTTTTTAAACATCAACGAAAGAAAAGAGTTCGCGTTCAAGCCAAAAATATATTTGAATTTAATTTTTATTATTTATGACAATGGGACCATACACATTATAATTGAAATAAAAATAATTGGAAAAAAATTACTTGAAAAAAAATTGAAAACAAAATAGTTGGAAAAAAAATATATTTTTATTTGAAAAAAAAAATTACTTGAAAAAAAAAAATTGAAAACAAATTATTGGAAAAAAACATAAAAATTCATATTTTATTTTTAACAAATTTGAACAAAATTTTGAAATTTTTTTTAAACATCAACTAAAGAAAAGAGTTCGCGTTCAAGCCAAAAATATATTTGAATTTAATTTCTATTATTTATGATAATGGGACCATGCACATTATAGTTGAAATAAAAATAATTGGAAAAAAATTACTTGAAAAAAAAAATTGAAAACAAAATAGTTGGAAAAAAATTATTATTTTTATTTGAAAAAAAATTACTTGAAAAAAAAATTGAAAACAAAATAGTTGGAAAAAAAATTACTTGAAAAAAAAATTGAAAACAAATTATTGGAAAAAAACATAAAAATTCATATTTAATTTTTAACAAATTTGAACAAAATGTTTGAAATTTTTTTTAAACAACAACTAAAGAAAAGAGTTCGCGTTCAAGTCAAAAATATATTCGAATTTAATTTTTATTATTTATGACAATGGGACCATACACATTATAGTTGAAATAAAAATAATTGGAAAAAAATTACTTGAAAAAAAAAATTGAAAACAAAATACTTTATTGGAAAAAAAAATTCAAACAAATCTAATGGACGCAAAATTTATTTGAAAAAAAAAAGTAATTGAAAAAAATTTTATTTGAAAAAAAAAATTAATTGACAACAAAATAATTGAAGAAAAATACGTATTTGAAAAAAAAATCATTATAAACTGATGATTTTTAATAATTTATAAATTTTAAAAAATTTATAAATTATATTAATAGGTCAGGTTTAACAAATGGCTGAAGGTTTGTTTATATATGTAATTAATTTTGTACAAGTTTTACATTTTTTTTTTCTTTTTTTTGTGTGTAGATGTTAAAAATTATTCAATTAAAATAAATGAAAATCCTTTTTATGTTTTTGTTACCGAGGTTCACCAATTGGAGCAGCATAGATTAAACTTTGAAAAAAAAAGACTGACGTGCAGATCCGTACGTCCCACGTAAGCCAAAGCCGGTTTGGAGATCAACGGCTGGCAGCTTGGTTATGTAGGGGCAGTTTGGTCATTTAATAACAAAACATCATATCAAACATTTTTTTTCAATACAATCATTTAAAAATATTTCAATCTATCTTCTCAAATACACAAACTAAACTAGCTTATTAAAATAATCAAATAATCAAAAAATTTAAAAAATAATCACTTCTCAAACGAAGCCATTATATACCTGGTAATTAGAGACACTTTAAGGTGATACAGTGTGTTAGTGCACGGTGAAAACAGCTACTGATACATGGGTAAGGAATACAGGCCTCTTTTGGAAAATTGATAAAAAGTCAACTTTCAACTTTTTATTAATTTTGAATTATATCATTTCTCACATAATTTACTCATACAAAGACAAAATAAATAAAAAAAAATTAAAAATCAAACTTTTTACTACATTCCCAAAACATTCTACAGTAAATTTTTTGTGGGAAAGCAGTATGCATTGTGTGTTAATAGTGTTTTTCTTTTGATGGGATAATGGGAATGTAGAGTTGAGAACAAGTAACGGTGTGGAATGTAGAGTTGTAAGTTATATATATTTCATCATTATAATTTTTTATTATTAGTTAATTGTTTCTTAGAGGGTGTTTGAGTTTACTTATTTTCTTGTTTTTTAAAGTTTTTAAGAAAAAAAGTAAAAAAATAATATAATAACTTATAACAAATAAGTAAATAAGTTGCATATTTAGCAACTTTCCAAACACCCTAAAACTCTCTATATATGAGTTTAGATATTTTTCTGAATTACATAAGTTTTTGGTAATTTTTATTTTTTTGTGATTATTTTTATTTTATTTGTTCTCAATGTTTGGTTGGATTTATTCCCAAACACCCTCTCTTATTTGATTTTAAAAAACTTGTTTTAGAAAAGTCAATTTTATGAAAAAAATAAAAATATCTAAAATAATTATTATTTTTATATAATTTTATTTCTTTTAGAAGGAAAAAATAACTTATAAAAATACAAAATATAAGTAGAAAATCAAACCAAATGTTATTTATCATTTGCATTTACATTTCATTTTCACAATTTTTTTCTTCAGTTTTCTCAGCAAGCAAACGGAGACCGCTCGGGTGCTTTTATGTTCACTGTAGGGTTTTCGAAGCAATGTCTAAGGGAAACGATGATGCAATTGATCCTCTCCCTAGAAATTTGCCTGACTTTTTGTCTAGTACGCAATGCAATTGATTGATTAGTTTGTTGAATATATGTGTTTTGTTGTTTTTGTTTTTGGTTTTGTTTGCTCACAATATTAATGTTGTGGTCATGTAGAGGTGAGGACGATGAAGCAGAGTGGACTCAGTGAACTTGAGAAGATTTTGAAGGAGCATGAAGAGTTAACAATGGAATTAGAAGCTCATGCCAAATTGATTGAGCAACGTGAAAATGAATTGGAAAAAAGGGAGGCCCAAAATGAAAATATGAAAATGCTTCTCAAGTATCAGGAGGAAATGGTACTGTATTTTTTTTTTTTTCCCTTTATATCTTGAAATTGATTCTGGCTCAGTTTTTTGAATTTGCTAAAAATGTAGCTTATTTCATTCAAATTTATCTCATTTTCTCTATTTCTTTTTTCAAATCTCTGTCCAAATCAATGGTCATGTTGAAAAAATTGGTGAAAACTGTAAACCGATTCAATCTGATATAAGCTTTGGTTCTGGTTCTAATTTTGAAAATGGTTGAACCGTTTAAATTGGTCCGGTTTACAGTTTTAAGGTAACAGTTTTTTGATAACCAAAACAAAATTTTAGGGTAACAGTTTTGGTTCTTAATCAAACCAAACTGTAATGTATTTGTTTATTGTATTTTAGGGTAAGTTTTAATTCATATGATGTAACACTTTTAACCCATTGTTCAACCATAATTGATTAGTCATATGAATTAAAAAATGATGATGATAGTATTGTTTCCTTATTTATCTGTGTCTTTGGCCTTAGAAAGGAGATTAGTATAATTATGCAAAAATTGTGAGGCTTGTCATGTTTTTTTTTTCAAACTCATGGTAGATCAATGTAATTTATCTATATCTTAATATTTCAATATGTAAAAACCAAAGTATGGAAACGGCTATCAAAATTGTAATTGACAAGTGTAAGCCAACTCAACTATTTTGGTTGTTGGTAATTTATTTTTTATTATAAAATATGTACCATATCACCAGTTCTATATAATATTTCAAAAACCGTAGAATCAAGCCAAATTGAACCAAACCAATTGTTGTGATTTGATTCAGGTCAATTTTTTTGGACCCCCTAGTTCAAATCATGACTCAAATTTCAATTTGAGTAAGGAAAACAACTAAAAATTCTAACTCACTCTGACTGAACTTCATTTTTTTACTGAAACGAAGGGAGATCTTTTGCATGCCCATAAACCCAATGTTTATATTTGCTGACATAAAAGCCTCATTATCTTACACACTCATGTTTACTTCTAGTTTGCAAAAATGCTCTTGGATATGATGAGAATTTTTTTAAAAAAAATCCGAGTAAAAGTTTGAATTTGTCATTGGAGTGGTTCATATCAAATGAACCTTTTACTCAACTGTGAGTACAGAATTAAGTCGTAATTGGAGATGGCCTTAGAACACCCTCCCAAGTCTCAATTTGTTGAATCATTGATTAAAGATATTTAGAGTGATAGCAAGTTTGTTTGTTCTCAGAATAAGAAAGCAATCTTGGAGGAAAAGAAAAAGTTGGCAGAAGAACAAAAGGTAAAATACATCCTGTTTTTCTGGTTTGACTTTTGTCACTAAAATGACAACTATGTGCCTGAATTCTAATAATATTATGGTTGTTATGACTTGAAATGGCAGACAAAAGAAGAAAAGTTTCATAGAAGGATTGGTGAACTACAGAAGAAACTTGATGCCAAACAAGAATTAGAGTTGGAGGTAGAGCGTATGAGAGGGGCAGTTGAAGTAATTATGAGAAAAATGAGTGACGATGGGGATTTGGAGGAGCTCAAGGACAAGATGGATGAAATTAAAAAACAACTCAACGAAAAGGAACAATATATTGAAGATCAGGATTCCCTGCTTGAAGCTCTTATTATCAAGGAACACAAATGTAATGATGAGTTGCGAGAAGTTCGTAAAGAGTTGATTTATGTAAGTATTGAATACTGCTTGGATTCACGTGCAAAACCTGCATACCAATTTATTGTTGGTCAATTCCATTTATTCAATTGAATACCCCTTAGATTCACAGGCAATCCTCCGTCCCATGTTTGGACCTGAACTTTTGGAGCTTAGTTTTAACAGTTTCTTAGCTGAAGGAATGCGACTTTAAAATTATTGATTATGGGTTTTGAACATGATTTAATTGACTAAAAAGAAAATAAAATGAAGAGTATGTTGCGCATTGCTTTTGTTTTTTCTTGTTAGTACATTTTTGTTTGGAATCAAGAAACTGTCAAAGAGGTTCAGTGGACATGTACTTTTCTTGCTCTCTAGGGTTTGATGAACCGCCGTGGTGGTGTAATTGGTGTCAAGAAAATGGGAGAGCTTGACAATAAGCCATTCCAAACAGCAGCCAAGAGAAAGTATGCAGTTCGTGAAGCAGAGTTGAAAGCGATAGAGTTGTGCTCCTTGTGGGAGGGTTACCTTAGGGATCCAAATTGGCATCCTTTCAAGGTCATCCCGGTGGAAGGAGATCATAAGGTATGCAATAATATGTTCACATTATGTTATCTGTTGGTTTTCATTTTATTTCAATTGATTATGTTTTCCTCTTTTACGTTGCCTGTGCATTTTAAAACATGCCATTTTATATGACATTTTCTTCTTTTATATATAAACTTGATGGAGCTTTGTTCATGGCTGTACATGATCTCAATTCAGAAGGACCCATTACGGCGCCTTGCAAAAATCCTTAATTTCTCATAAAGATAAATATTTTATTTTTTGCATATAATGTCTGTTTTGGTGAAATATTATTTCAAAATGGAAGGAATGCACATGTTGGGTGTGTGTCTTGTATTGTGCAGAACCCATGCAGTTATTGTTGTCTTTCATGTATTTGGATTAGGTTGTAGAGTTCAGAATTTACTAGGAGTGCAAGGTGTAAGGTTTTATTATGGGACTAGGTTTATTTAGGTTTGCCTATAAATAGGGAACCTATGAGAATTCTAGGGTTGTGAGATTGAGTGGGTTTGTATAGATGTATCGGGAGCACCGGATGTGGCTTTGGGGTTTAGTTACTCTTTAGCGGGGGTGCTTCCGTTCCCGTTGGTGAGACGTGGAATAAATCCCAACAACACAAACACCCACAAAAGAAAGGTCTCATAACTCACTTCACATGCCTCTTCCCCCCATCCTTCTCTTGCCTTCCCATTTTAATCAAGAAAGAATTATACAGATAGAGACATCATCAATCTATTTAAATTCTTAACTTTATGTTGCAACGTTTGACATCTATCCCTAGCTACCATATGGTGTAGTTTGTCATGTGTTTTTTATTCCATGCATATTACAACTTTTTTTTCTTGGCTCACCTAACTTGATTATCAATTATTCCTGCCATTTTAGCTCTATATTAACCTTATTGTATGGTTTATATTTAATGCGTCTGTTCAGGAAATAATAGACAAGGAGGACGATAAATTGAGAAGTCTGAAGGATGAGTTTGGCAATGAAGTCTATGAGGCTGTGATTACAGCCTTGAAGGAGATGAACCAGTACAACCCTAGTGGCCGATACCCAGTCTTAGAACTGTGGAATTTCAGGGAAAAAAGAATAGCAACATTAAAAGAGGGAGTATCTTGGATGCTAAAATTGGATAGACGGAGGAGAAACTAAAAGTTCGTCGCATGGTTTTGTAAATTTTGCATAGGACGGTTCTGGCATGACATTTATAAGTTAATAGCCCCCCTCTAGATATAATATGTTCCCCATATACTGCATATGTTATGGATTGATATTTTGTGATTTTCAAATGTGTATTTTTGTAACTTTTTGCACTTGGACTCGTTGAATGAACCTAATTTAGTTGTTTTTCTAAATTTTTTGGTTCTGATATTTTGTTTTGCTTCCATGATAAATTAGTTTTGTATTTTCTTCATTTGATTACTATCATGTGCATTTTAATATTGTCTTGAGCAGACTATCTTATCATGTGCATTTTAATATTGTCTTGAACAGACTATCTTAGTGATCTTGTGTCTGATAGGTGGTAGGATTTCTTCAACAAAAAAGCTATGTTCCAAAATTTTAGGACCCAGAATTTATTGTAATTGATAAAATGTGGGATTCACATATAAAATGAATCTGAGCCATTGATGTAAAATTCTAAGTAATTTTTGAGTTTTTATGTTTGGATTTGTAGTATTACTGTTTCTTCAAACTCTCTCAAGGTTTGCATCAAAGCTATGAAAGTTTAGAAAGGCTTTAACCGATGGGAGTAGGGTCTCTTTTTTGATAATTTAAATTGTTCATTTTGTAGAACTTTTCACATATATCATCCATGAATAAAAGTAGGTTAATTCGATAATTTTAATTTTTTTATTTTATGACATTTATCTTTAAAAAAATGAATGTGTTCTTGAAAATAAGCTGTCCCTTTTTTTTTGGGGGAGGGGGGATTGAATTATCAAAATGAGAGTTGTAATAAGTTTTAAGAGCATGGACATGACGGTCATATTCATATTTTAACTTCAGAAAAATCTAATCCTTGACCTAATGCGTTGAGCAATTTTAACTCCCAACGGAAAATAAGTTGGGTACTACTCAAATGAGCAGTCCATTGGGGCCGCCAATAAAACAAAAGGGCTGGCCAATTGGGGCACAATTTAATTCGAAAGATCATTACTGCTTGTTGGGTCTACTCTGTATGTACACGTCTCGATAAGAAAATGAGGGATTGGTATTTGCTTCCCCCGATTTGTTTTTCCCATCACTGTCCAAATCATTTTAAACAAATAATTTTTATATGTATTTATATATTTTAATTTCTTAAATATAATAAGTATACAACACCAAAACATTCATATATTTTCTTTTTTTAAAAAAAAAAACCTTTATCTCATTTTTAATCTTTTTAGCTCTTAGTACTCATCCATAGTTGTTCTTTTATGTTTTGTATCATCTCTCTCTGATTTTTCTTGTCCCAATAAAAAAATAAGGGTAGAAAATTACAAGCTTGTCCTGTCCGTTGTCATTCCTATTTATAGGGTGACCAAATGGGCCTTTACCTCTCAGTCCCACTAGCTAGCAAATAATTTGAAATGTGCCTACTAGAGGCCATTTTTTCTGGAAGCCCAAACCTCCGAAATAGATTTATAGCCCGACTTGTATTATCCACAAAAGGAGGTAGTATATGTTTTCAAGTTCGGCACCCAAGTTGGAGCCTTCTTATTTTCTTCTCCTATTCCCCACTTCCTCCTTTGACCTGAAAAAGAAAAAAAAAGAAAAAAAAACATTGAAATGAAATCGATTCTCAAATTGCCATAAATATGATTGTATGAGTACGAAATAATCTTCTCGTATAATCCTGTTGATCAAATCTACGCTCCTCCAAACGTCGTCGCTTTTCTTCCTGAAAATACAAACGTGAGCTAACCGGCGGGTATGTGCCAGATACCTCTCCAATACTTAAGTAAGCAAAATAGACAAATAGACAAAAGCTGAGTATATTCGAGAATCAAAGTTGTGATACCTGTACATAGGTCCTGCTATGAGCTTTTATAGATTCTGCCTGACACAATCCTAGTAGGATTCCAACTCTCTTTCTAAGAGTCCTTCTAGGAATCACACACCCTGCTCACTATCAACCAAGTGAGATGGTTTTGTACAACCTTAGTAGGACTCTACTCTCCTTTGCAGAGCCCTTCTAGGAGTCTTAAGCTCAATGAAGAATGTCTATCATGATAACACTATGACTTCCTCCAGTCAAGTAAAATTGGTTACCTCCTAGAAATCAGAAAGGTAATGCTCATTTTCCAACACCCTTCCCACTGCTTACTCAAGGGAAATGATTTTACTACGGTAGAATAACAGTACGACCGAGCTAACTCCTCTTACACGCTTAGCTCGGTGCTTTCACAGGCAGCACCTAGTTCGGTCAACACCTATTTACCTCAGTTTGGGATACCCCGACCGAGCTACTTGCAGTTATCTCTGACCGAGCTAAGAATGATTAGCTTCAAGCCACGAAGCCCATTCACCTCGGCCCATAACTCGGTCTCTCACTGCACCATGTTTGAGCTCGACCCTAATTCACATAAAAACTCCCTCTCAATTGCCCCTTAATGTCATCTGCAGTGCATAATTTGGGATTATTCTTCCTCAGTCGAGCTAAAAACATTCAAGCCAACCGAGCTCACCTTTCACCGGGCTACCGATTAGTCTGGTTCATAAACGTCTTTTCAATCGCTTTGTACATCTGAAACGTTTTCTATTTCCTTGGACACATGGCTGGCTCCCATTGGCCACGTGTAACTGTCACAGCCGTCTTCGTACTCTGCAAATTTTGAACAGTCCCGCCCAAATCCATGCTTTATACAAAAACCCCACTTTTTGAACCAAACACACCACTGTTCATCTTCTTGCACTCGTCCTCTGAGCCTCTATTTTCACGGTCATAACTCCAGTAAAGCTTGCGTCTTTGCCACCATCCTTACGGTCTTGATCTTCATCCCTTTATCTCAAAGCTGTGAGTGGCCCTAACCTTTTTCCTTTCCATTTATTTTGTATAGTATAGCAATATATAGCATAGTATATGTATGTTTTTCAAAACACACTAGTATAGTTTCCACATCAATGAGAAAGAACCACTTGGTCCCAAAAACCATGCGATAGATCCTCCACTAGATTCACAAACAATCTGTAACATGATGCTTTTGATCTAAAATAATACTGCAATCGTGATAGGGACTTGTTTGCCATAGATGCGTATTAGACCGAACTAGAAGCCTCACCTATTGACCAAGCTAGAATTTGGGAGCCATCCTCGGAGTCACGACCGAACTAAAAACCATCTTACCCAATGACCGAGCCAAAAACCTGGAGCCCCTTCTTGAGGCATAACCGAACTAAGAACGTGCTACATCCCATTGAACGTACTAGGTTCTACTTTTATGAATCCTTCTTTTTTTAGCCTGGTTCAGCGGTCTGGGCATAACACTTTTTATCTCCACTTTACAAACTTTGACTAGGTTGGCCAGGCACACCTTTACACGCTCAACCAAGATATTCAACGCCATTTCAACACCGAGCTAGACTGCCGTGATAAATTATACATAATTTAAATTAGATGGGTAAATACCGGTTCTTAGTAAACTCACCAGGGGCCATTGCCGAATTCTGCAATGACTACAGCATTCCTGACGATGTCCACCTCTCATTAGCCGAACTGGATACCACGCCCTGGGGTAAAATCGGGCTTTGTTCCTTTCACTGTAATATCCATTGTTGAGGCCGATCTCCGATTCCCAGATCAACCATTGATATGTAAATTCCTGAGGCAAACTATGCCCGACCCAACTAAGCACCAACTCTTACAGAATAATAAACGGCATTGCCGAGCTAAACCGTCGGCTCGGTCTCAACCTTGGATTGGCCGAGCTATTCCACCAATTCTCGTTCGGCCAAAATGACGACGGTTAGGTGTATTACTTAAGAATAAGAAGAGGTCGAGAGAAAATAATTAAAAATACACCGGACAAAAACTTGAACGACGATGATTTCTTCTGGGTTTCTGGAAATTTTAAAGACCAGGAAGCTCAGATATCAGGCTACAATATTAATTGGAATAAAGGGACAGCCAGTATGAATACTTCGGCTTAGTTACCCATTTTTATTTCGTGGTTTATAACCCTTCGCCGTGTTAACCATTTGACTTTTCTTTTACTGCAGATTTGAACCATCTAAAATCGCAATACCCATACGCCAACCAGGACGCCCTTCACGCCACGCTTCGTTATCGACACCGTGGTTGGGCCGAGCTTTTGAATTTCGAACCGACATATACATACAACGGAAGGAGGAAGACCAAGGTAACTGACTTCCTTCTCAAACCATCACCAGAACCGAATCCCAACTTGCCACAGATCAACCTCATTCCCTTAGCAGAAGAACAAGAAATGGCCAAGGGCCGAGCTATTCTAGCACTAATCATTGAAACAACACCAGCCAGCGAGGTTTAAACCGGGACATCTTAAGCCGGTCAGGCACACGAAGCTGTGGTGGCCCTCCCAATAGCTAGGGCCTCCTCATCTCGATCGAGAAAACGCGCACGAACTGATTCAGCTGAGCCGTAATGCCTGGTTGACAAGGATGACACCGTGCCCCCCGAAACCACGCTGTCAAGCCCTGAACCCGTGCTCTCTGACCGAACTAGCCCTTCTGAGTGGGCACCAAAGATGACCTACCAGAATCGGGCTATTTTGACCACAGACTCAGTGGTCGCAGACATGAACCACACGCTGGCCTTCAACCTTGCCAAGAGTGTGTGTCTACCAGCCGACATGGAGCATCAGGACCATCTGACCAAGCTCAAGGCCATCCGCTCTGCAACTAAGTTAATGGTGCTAGTAAGTGCTCTATTTTTTTTATTTTTCAATTTTGTACATCTGTTTACTCGGTTTTACTCAAAATTTCTGTCCGTTCTTTTGTAGGCCATGCAGAAAAACCACGTTGCACATAAGCATGTGTTGGAGCTGCGTAAGACAGCGCGGCTGGTCGTGGCAGAGGCTAACACAAAGACGACCGAGCTCAACGAAGCCAGACAAAAACGACCGAGCTTGAGTCTAAAATCACCCGACTTACCGAGTTGGTTGACTCGGCAGAGGCGGATAAACAGATGGCTTTGACTGAAAAGAATGAATGCTATCTGCGCAAGCTGGTCAAGCTTGAGAAGAAAAAAGACGTCGAAATAGTCGAGCTGAGAAAGAGCGCAGAAGACACTGAGGACCGCGATTATAAGGAAAGGAAAGCCACCTACATTTTGCAATGTGAGGCTGTAAAGGATATATTTTTAAATGCGGATGGAAAGCAGCTGTGTCAA